AGCAGTTAATATTTATTTCTGTATGTAATTTAAAAAGAGTACAAAAATTATAATTGTAATTAGCTCACATCACTAATATAACATAAATATGGACCAATGAAAAAACAAATTTCTATTTTGGGACTTCAGCCCTCAAGTCCCCTCTTATTGTTTATTTTTCACCTATTTGTTGATTTTAAATACTCATCCATTTCAATTTCATCCATCCCAAATTCTTTTTGCCAGTGATGCTTCCAAATGTGCAATTTAATGTATTCTAAAGTCAAATAATGCTAAAATGTTAAAATTGTAAATGTTTACTGATGCATACTAAAACAGGCACGTAAATAAAAGGATAATGATAATGACTGAAAAGTTAAAAAAATTTGCGAGAGTACATACTTCCTTAGAATTTCAAATTGTTGATACCAAATGATAAAAACAAAAAAAAAACTTATGATAATTAATAATTAATTTTAACAGTAGTTGCTAATAGAAGCAAATTGGTCTAAACCAACCGGTACGATTAGTGTGAAGCCAAGTGAGGACATGGCGTTGAAGAAAGAATAATTACTGGGCGGAAGATAAGAGAGTAACGATCATTTAGGGCACGAGGAAATCTTGCCATTCCAAATCTTAATTAGTGAAGAGCCCATTGTCCATTAGAGAGAGCATGATGGCCAAAGGCTGCAAAAGTATTTCGATTTTCCTTGTTTGGAAAAAAAACCTTATTTAATAAGCAAAGAAAATCGAAGTAATAAAATACAGTCATTGATCTTTTTCATTAATGATAAATTAATTATACGTTATTCCTCACTTCATTGAAAGTAAGGTACATTCTCTTTCCAACATACTGAACATTTGGAGACTCCACGGCTAGATCATCCATATTCATGCCTCCTTCGGGAACACCCCTTAGACCTCTGTTATTCTAATAACGGCTCGAAAAAGAAGTGACTTAATGATTACCCTCATTCCTTTTTTCGCTTACTTTCCAATGTATTTTAAAATCCATTGCCCGGCGGAAATGAAAGTATATAATTCAGTTTAGCTTTCCGACTGAATGAATAATATTTAAACAATTTAATATTTTCTAATGTAAAAAAAATTAAATTACGTTGCTAGTTAATAAAAAGAAAAATCTGTATTCTATGGCACTTTATTATACATTTATATAACGGTTTCAGTCAAAATTATTAGATTCGAGAAAACCTAGACTGAATCATTGCCTAGACGAACTTAAACGGATTCAGGTTAAATGCTCTTAATACGCAGACACTTTAAGTTCATCAAAAAGAGAATAGTAAAATTTTATGAATTCTTAAAATATTTAAGGAATATAGAATTCAATGTCCTCACATTTTCGCCTTCTCCTCGGCTATGGCAAAATATAAGTTAAATTTAACCTAGATTAAGAAAAAAATTAAGGTAAAGATGAGCCCCGTCATCCTCATTGGCAGTCAAAAATAACGAGTAAAATAGAATGAGAGATTAAAAAGAAAAACCTTAAATTTTATCTGAGATACAGTAAAGGGAAATGTAACAGGACATATTAAGGACAAATCTTTTGTGAAACTGTGGTAATGAAAAATATATTTATATATTTGAGTCAAATACAATTTTTTAAACCAATGGATACAGGGTAACTTCTAGTAAATTATCTGGTAAGTTAATTTTAGCGAGGAAAAAAATTAACATTTCACGCATACAACTAAGTGACTTTTGACTTTAATACATACGATTTTTTCTTTTTTGAGGTAGTCTGTTCGCTTTCACCGAAACGATTTTGCAGTATTGGTTATTTGGGCCCAGTTGACCTTACTCAGTCTCGATTTTTTTCACGACCATACTAATTCTCCTTATTGTATATCTTATATATAGGTAACTGAAAGTAATATAGTCATGAACTTTTAATTAATTAAACTGTAGTTAGTAAGTAAAGTATCACTTAAAAATGTCTAAGGAGGTAAAGGTCAAAGTAACTAAAATTAAAATAATTGAAGTTACAAAATCATGAAAAAATTTTTAGTCAGATTACTAGTACAAACAGCTTAGTCCATGAAAAAAAAATAATCCTCTGATCTAATATGCAAAACCTTAAAAGATCTAGAGATTGTAATCAAAATCCACGAAATCGTTGTTCAATCGGTTAATTAATCCTTTTATACTTATCATTATTGAGTCCTTAATCCTTCCTCGAGAACCGAAAATTTCAACAATTATCACGTTTTCCAAAATTTTGAATACATTTCTTTGAAAACAAGGGACTCTTCCTAAAAGAATCTCATTTCCCTTTAGTTCATTGTAGAATACCCCTTAAATCCTCGCATTACCCTATTTACGGCTACGTTACAATAGGCTGCTTTGAATATCTAATAATAGGTAATTTTTCAGTTGAAATTAAAAATAATGAGGCCTCCCTTACAATTTTTTGCAGGCTTTTCTTTCCATTTATTTCATCTCACTATCACCCAAGACCTATTTTATGTTAACAGTATATTTGAACTTACTACGAGTGTTGCAGTATTACGATTTGGTTTGCTTTTGATATTAGCTGTTGATGTAAGTACGCTGAATCTGTTCAGAGAAGGTGTCATTTTGAACTTTTTAGTTTTAGTTATGTCTGAGTTGGCAAAACTCGATTGGTTTTCGATTATAACCTGTAGTTAACTACATAAATTATGATTTGTGGTAAAATAATTTTAATATTTTATGACGTCTAACATGAAACTATTTCTCGGTGAAACTGTTTCGTCATATTAACATCTATTAACGGATGAACAACATAAATATTAATTTTAGATACACCGTATGTGCAATACAATAAAAATTAATCCAACTTCTACCGTGGGTAAAATATACAAAAGAGTCCTAGTAAGGTGTAAAAAAAAAATAAAAGAAAAAGAAAGAAATAATGTTATAACAGGAAAAATAGTATAAATGAACCTTGGGAAACTCCCAGTGTGTGAATTACAAGATAATGGTGCCATTTTGAAGAAATTTATGCTTATTGAGGACGAGCTAAACTAAAAAGTATAGAGTGTATATTTGCTAATGAGGAGAGGCCATGTGAAAAATAAAATATCAATCCTTCTCAAAATTTATTTAAAGAGGATTTGTTTAATTTGTTATTGTTTTTTCTTAACTGTAAAAAAATGGTTTTAATATGAATTTCAATGATATTTATATATTAAATGTTTTTAATTTCCTCAGAAATATAAAGGTTCATTCAGACATTCCACAAAATATGAAAAACACAATTATCTATCTTAACTCATAGCGACATTAGCGCTAGACCCAACCTTTTTTTATTTATCTTGTTACCGACAGCAGATGGAAAACATCAAAAATAAGAAACAGAAACACTAGCATAGAGGAAAATAATTTAAATATTTGTGTTTCCCACAGTATGTGTAATGTCTAAATGAGCCTTTAGATTATTAAGTGATTTTATTGATATTTAGATTATTATCAAAGGGATTTAAATTAAGGTAGTAAATTAAACAGTATAATATTATTTAAACTATTAATACTCAGTGAAAATAATTATATTAAATATTTAAGATAGTGGTAAATAAAGAACTGTGTTCTGCTCCGGATTCGAGTACAATTGTGGTAGGTAAATATCCATCATGTTACATCGACTCAAGTGTCTTGTGGAGCACCCAGACTCTATAAAGTGGATACTCTTGATAAACTATTTAATTAGTCAATTAAGTTAATCTTAACTCATAGGCTTGATATTGTTCAAATCAACTCCTTACACAACCGTTGAAGAATAATTTAAAAAACAGTACTTCTTTATTAAGGGCATGTTCCTGAACTCAGTTCTTGTCCATTGATGAATATCCGATGCTCATCAATGATCTCAGCGCCGTGTTTAGGAGCTTACCCACAGTTACATCGAAGAGTTTAGGAAAGGCCTGATGAAATTCCGATGCTCATTAATGGTCTCTGAGCCGAGTTTAGGAACTTGCTCAAAGTACAAAGAGATTCCATCGATTTTAATCATAGTACAGTTTTTCAATATTTATAATTTTTATTATTTGATTAGAATGATATTGCACCTCCAGTATTTAATAAGCCTACTTTAATCGAAAAATTAAACTGCTCCGTTGAAATGTTAGATGTTCGTCTTAACCATAAACTGAGGCTACTACTATTGAAGCAAGTTAATGGACTGTTCTACTACATATTACATACGACTGTTCTAGCACCTATTATAAGTGATAAGTAGTCAGCACGCAGTCATTTTTGATGTTTTTATTGATGCCGACGTTTCAACCCATCACATTCAAGCATGTGGAGCAACAATTTTTTCAGCCCTGATGATGAACCCCACATGCTTGGGTTGAAACGTCGGCACTAATAAAAACCTTTAAAATGACTGGGTCCTGACTATTTATTCCCTAAGAGGCTACAACTTAGTCAAAGCGAAAGACCGAAATCAGTTATGTCATTTTTACGAATTTATAGTTTTGTTAAGTATTAATGAATAATAATAATAATAGAAAGTTACATTGGGAAAATTGACATTCCTTTCTTTAACATGGTGCCGACGATATGGACATTCATAATGAACAAGAAATACTTAGATACCGATCGTTTACGAAATATTTATATCTATGGTGATAGCAATGGAATAGGTAGATAGAAAATCGACAGTTTAAAAGACTAAAAATTGATTTTATATACTTCACATATCTTAAATATAATTAAAGCTTTCTTTTTTTTTTTTTGGTAGTGAATGTTTCGGATTATCATTAACATTTTTATCATATGTGCGTATCATGCATATCTGCGACTCCCTCTAAGTGAAATGGCTTAATATTTTCAAATGTTTTCGTAATTAATACATTTTTGAATATTTCAGTTGTTTTCGATTATTACGAAGTAAGCAAGAAGTAAAGAGTTTTGTCCGTTTATTCGTATACCTCTTTGTAAATAGATAAAAAGGTTTCTCTTCTTGTTACATACTAGTTAGGTTTTGTTTATATTTAGATAAGGATAAAGTTGTGTTCATGGCTACTACTAGAAAATTATGGAAAACTAGAAAATTTGCTCAGCTCATTTTTATTACTACATTTTCCATTATGTTAATACTTGCAATTTACAGTATGAAAGAAAAACATCAAACAAAGTATGTTATAAAGGAAAAAACTGAGGATTATTCAGAATACCGCCATGGAAAAAACGAAAGAAAATATTCAACATTGAATTTAGAAACATCTAATTATGTTAAGATAATTGGTATCAATGATGATATTGATAAAGTGAGTTTTAAGGGTAAGAGTGGCATCGGTGTTTGAAATTAACTGTACATCCTGTATTCAAGGTTTTCAAATTATATTCTTTGCTATTTTTAGATAGACCTGAAGAGATCACAGGAGGTTCTTTCAGAGGCTTGAAGATAGTACATTTAGATTTAAAAGGAGCTCCTCCAAAATCAACTTATTATGCTGATTTCTTTCCTTTTATAAAAAGACTTGGGGCATCTGGTGTACTAATTGAATATGAAGATATGTTCCCTTATTCATCTATTGATGCAGCTGCACATAATGCTTATACTAGAGATGAAATTGATAATATCATGAAGTTAGCCAATGAAAGTTCTCTCGAGGTGATTCCATTAATACAAACATTTGGCCATCTGGAGTTTTTGTTAAAATTAGAGAAATACAAACATCTCCGAGAAAACAACAAGTATCCACAAGTATGTATATATTATTTTATATTAGGATTTTTACATATACAGGGCTGCTAATCATGTTGAATATAGATTACTATATTTTTGTATAATATTCATCAATTTTTATTGATTACTGGTACTTATTCTTCAAAATTTTTGTGAATGTTCGTTTTAGTATTCAAAGTATAACAAAGTCGAAAGTAATTTGGCTAAACAAAAAAGTTTCCTAGTTATGTGTTACTTTAGTTTATATTCATCGGTTACTGTTTAACTAATAGGGATCATTTTAGATTTATTGGTGTTTTAAGATAAATAATTATTGTAATTTCATTTGGTTTTATATAAGGCAATAGGTATCCAAGGATATGTAGATTCAATATTCTAATAAGAATCAATTTTGAATTTAATAATTGACATTAAACAGAAGTTTTTAAAACTGTCACAGATGTATTGGGACGTCAAGCCAACACTGCCAGTCTTCCTACATCCACCACATCTGCTTCTTTATTCCCTTCAATCTTCTAGACATATCCTTCATAAGACATTCTCAGTACTCCATTCGACAAAAATTTCAGAAGCTGTTCAGATATCTATATTTGGAAAATTGTATTTGGAGGATTGGACTGTATGATCATAACTCTTTTGTCATAAGACTTCTTGCAGCCCAATAAGGTTTTCCCAATTTTTACCAATCAGTAGTCTCAGAAGTTCTGTCTTATTTCTTCTAGATGAGAACATGCATATTAATGACTTGATATCATAGCTGAGAATATGCTGCTTAATGAGCAGCGAGGGTCATCTCTCGCTTAGATCCTGTGCAGGTGAGCATCAAATAGTCGTGGCCTGTGATTAATCGAAAAGTGGCAACCAACTCATGCTGAAGATTAGGTGGAATACAACAATTTGGATCGAGAAGGATAGCCCACTGTATCCTTTCTGCGCACTCTTGGTAAAATTGTTGCATTATATGTTTTCAATGCATCTTTTAGCAGCAAGAAATTATTAATCGCTAAGGGAGGCATGACCATCTGTAATATAATCATTAAACTCCCCATTCAATAAAATAAAAATTTTAAAAAAATTGTCTCAATAACAATGATCTTGATTTTTTTTTAAATGGAATTAGTTTAGATTAGGCCCCAAACATGGGGGAGGAGGAAGGGTGGCTGAATCTGTTGCACCAGGGTCAGGTGGGGTCAAGGGTCCGGAGGTTTTCAGTTAAAAACTATAGGATTTTATAGGTTGTTAAAATTGAAATTTAAAATATCATTAACCATATTATTTAAAATATCTACCACCATGATAGTTTTCGATATAACCACATTCACTTATAATATATCATGTGATAAGGGCCCAGATCAATACCAGGGCTCAGTAGAGTGATTCGAGAGCCCTGGTTAAGATGATCTCAGGTTGTTTGAAATAAAGGAAGTTTCTGAATGCTCACACTACTGCGTTATTCTTTTGTTCCCTTGATACAATAAACCCTTTGTTCCTTCCCTGACCTTATCTGCCTCATCTACTTGCTACTGTTTATTCAGACTTCTTTGTCTGGAAGCTCCTGTTGTTAAAATTGGCTATTGACGGATACATCTGTACAGATGGTTACAATGGTCACACTTGTGGCTAATCTATATCTAGCTCCCATTTCCATTCTTTTTTTTTCTTACTATTTAATCAGAATTACAGCAATGTTATTGAATGCTGAAAAGAACTGGCTATTTTATTGATAAATACAAACATCTTTTTAAATTGTTAGTTTGTAATCACTTTTGTAACCCTTATTTATTTATAAATTTATTTTTCTTATATTGATAACAATTATAATAAAGTTTATTAATAAAATTACATTCAAAGTGCAAATGTTAATGTTGATATATATTTAAAAATTCAGATTGTTTCAATACTTGTTTTGATGTTTAAATTTTAAATAATAATTAGTTAACTATTTAATGATTATCATTCTAACAAAGTTCTTATTACATTATAACATATGCTTATAATCTATCCTGCAGGCGATATGCCCTTCAAAAAATGAAACTCTTCATATCTTATTTTCTATAATTGATGAAATACTTGAAGCTCATAAAAATATCAAATATATTCATATTGGATGTGATGAAGTTTATCAAATTGGGCAGTGTAATGATTGCAAGGAAAAACTGTATAAAAATAACTGGAATAATAAGCATTTAATGCTCAACCACATCACAACACTTGCAAAGTAAATAATAAACTTTCATTACAAAAATTATTTTATAAAATCTATATGTTGTGGCCTATATTATTCAATGACATTAGTATATAACTCATCTTAATGCTATATATTACTTATAAATTCATTTGTGTACCTCATATATAATTTCTTAAACAAAATTTCAGATACATTAATAAAAAAACTGAAGGGAATGTCAAACCACTTATTTGGGACGACGAACTAAGATCGATCCCTCTAAATGAATTACAGCAGTGGGAAATCGGTAATTTAGTTGAGCCTGTTATTTGGAAATACACAGCAGATGTTGAGAACTATCTTGATGATGAATTATGGCAAAAGTAAATAATCATATTATCTCTTATTATTAGACTACTTCCTCTACTGCTTCTGATAAAAAGTTATATTTTTAACATTAATTAATTAAACCATTTGATTATGTCATTGCCATCCCCATTTTTGATAAAATTTAGATGTATTACGATGTTTTGTAATTATTATTTAGTGTAGTTGTTTGGAAAATTTGGAAAAGTAAAAATTAATAATCTGAATCTTAGATGCTGAATCCTTTGGTGAAAGCATATGTGATATTTATCATTATTACATTCTGTATTTAGTTTGATATGTGTATTATAGTTATTTATATTTATAATAATCTCTCACATTATATATTTTTGTAAACTAAAATTTTTATTTTTTGTTTCTTTTAAGATACTATCTATTATCACTTTCATCTTAATAGGAAATTATAATTTTGATCAAAATAATTAATAAAATGGTTCAATAGCATTACCTTCACCGATTTCCTTTATAAGGAGGGGTTTTAACAAAAAATGGATTAGCATGATGCAGCTTATCAATCTTTGAGTTATTCTCAGCTAGTATCTATCGATTAAATCCAATGTCACATTTTGCATAATCGCATTATTTCGGATTCTGTTTTAATGAGTAAGGAGATTAAAAAAATCTTCCTCATATCTCTGAGATTTTTTCTAGACATTTGGTTCGGAAAAATATCCACTTTTACTTTGTGATGAAAATTGAGCCATATGAGAGAAGAACTTGCCATGGAAGTTCAAGTGATTGATTCAATAAATTTAGGACTTTGATGCATAGTTATGATTTCAATTTTCTATGATCTTGAAGATTTTTATTTTAAGGGTCTTACCCAAATCCACCAAATCTTTTTTGTAAATATTTTTATTATTATTGAAATCTTTTTTATTTTTTATTCAATTTTCATTATTGACAAATTTTAGGTATAGTGTAATTTTTAAAGCAGTTTGGTTCGCTTCTGCCTTTAAAGGAGCCAGATACCCCAATTCTTATACAACATATAGTAGTAAGTGGAAAAAAATTGCTATTTTACCATTTATGTTCATGATTAATTCAAAAAAGTTAAAATGCATTTTATGTATTTTACAGATTATTATTTTGAAAATCATAAGTCATGGATGAATTTATTATATAAATATTCAGATAAAATATTCTTCCGTGGTGGTATACTGACTGGATGGCAAAGATATGATCACTTTGCTGTTCTTTGTGAACTTCTACCTGTATCAATACCATCACTGGCATTAAATTTGATCTATCTATCAACAGATATTAAGAGTAAGTGAACATTTAGAAACTTCTTATTATTTTGTAATGAAGTTTTGGATCCTAAAATTTTGTTTCAATTTATATTATAAATTAGTTACTATGTTAATTTACTACCAATACAAAATGATGGTGGGACAATGTCTTTCAAAATATAGACAATTACATATAAATTTAATCTAAGGTAAAATGTAGAATTATATTATTAGTTCAAAAATGAATTTTACTTCTTTTCGGACTGAAATTTCAACTTTCAATACATAAAATTGGTACCTTAGAAAGTAAACAGTTTTTTTAAATTATCAACCTAACATAATTTTTAACTTATGTACTCAATTTTTGTATTTCAGCTTTGATTGAGCTCTCAGTTAGAACTCAAAGAATATGTGGTTGCGATGCTAACCCAGTAATGGCTACAGCACCACACGGTACTTGTACGTTCCCCGGTGCTTGCCTCTACATTGCGGTTACTCGCCTGCCACAAATAGGTTTCGCTCTCCAAAGGGAAAAAGATCGTTCTCACTATAAAGGTTGGATGTCAAACTATAACATGAGATTTTCATTTTCGAATCCATCTCATGTAAGTATTTTCATTGAATTACTTTGATATCAAAACTGGCATATAGCATTAAATATATATTTAATAAATTATCTTTATTATTTATTATTGTTAACTATACGGGAGCTTTTTTCTAAGTAAGGCACTGTGCTCCTATTCTCCCAAGCACATGTTCAAGTGCTATGACAGATAATTATTCATCCTGTATAATCAGCCATTGTATGACCCTCCTGGAATTCATCCAGCTCCTGTTGACCTAGAAATAGTACTTACTAAGAACTGAATACCAGCGTGGAGTCCCCAGGCCCATATACCGTTGTAGTGATATATTATTCTGTTTATTTGTGTTAATTATATGGTCATTAAATCAAGATTCTGAAAGCATTAGTAGTTATTTATGAAAACTTCATTTGTTTGGAGAAATTTGAAAAAAAAAAACGTAGCATGTTTGCTCAGTTAAGTCTAGTAAAGTAGATCCAGTATCACGAGAAGGTGTACATGTAATCTAACACCATCGATACTCAAATTTGTTTGCATTGTTACTAATGGTCAGTAATGATTTTAAACAAAAAGAAGGAACTGAATCTGTTCAAGAAATTGATTCCACATTGCTAAATCTATTTTTTAACAAAGTCTTCACAGTTTGTTCGCTAATTCCATATTCTATGGTGATTTTTAAATAGTTTTGCCTTTATAACCAACCAAAAATATTCTCACAAACATATTTCTCAGTTAATAAATCTTAATAACAAGATTTTTTTTTCAACTTTTCAGCCTTTGTCGACCATTTTCAAAAATTCTAAATTAAAAAACAAGTATCAAAACATCTTAAAATACCATACAATATACCCTTTAATGATGATAAATGTTAAAGATAATATTTTTGTATCTATTAATTTATTTATTATATTTGTGAAATCCCTAACAAATTCTAGTTATTTTAATATTCTCTCTTTATTTTTCATTTTGCTTCCTAACTAATTTACCTTGTTTTTTTTTTTTTACTTTATTTACTTATCCATCTGTCTAATACAACATTGTCAAGCATGAGAAAGAAAAATATTCAGATGTATCTTTCCCGTGGCATTATTTTAGCCAAAAATAAAATAAATTTATAAATTGTCTCTCATCCATGACTTTATCAGCCGCCTTGTGATTTATATTCGTAAAAATCATTTCTTAAATTACATAGATTATTTCAAACTTATTTAAAAAAAAATGAAATTATTCATTTTAAATAATAATTCATATATAATAATAATAATAATTTTAAATTATAATTCATTTCAAATATTTTTTTAGGTAAAATTTATATCAAAATTTAATTTAGTTTGTTATTTTTAAACATGATCTTATTTTCATTTTTCTTTATTCGTTTGTTTTTTGGAAAATTCATTTTTGTTATTCAAATAATGCACTACATCAACTAGTATATGAGTGCTTAAGATAAAGATTAGCTGATAGAGGTTAGATAGATAGAGGTTACTAATTATTAAGCCGATTACTAGTTTTTCTTGTCTCAGGAATTCCTACCACATCATTTTACACCATACAATTTAGACTACTGTACAAGATAGTTTTGATTCATTCCCTCTATGGAGTTATATGAAATTGATCTTTATTGAATCAGTTTTGATATTCAATCCACACTAATGGCTGAATACAATTACTCCAACTATAAAACATCTTCAAACCTGAATCCCTCAAAGTGGGTTTTGGGTTATAAAAACTTTCATGTTTTATGTATTTTTTCAGGTTGAATTCGCTACTAATAATTTTTTAAATATTTATGCTGAATTAAATGACATTGAAAAAGACATCCGTATGTGTATGGACAATATCTACGACAATTCAACTGTTGAAGAATGGGTTTACACCTACGTTAGTCCTATAAAGGATGAACTCCGAATTGCTATTGACTCAAGAAATAAAATTATATCGAAGGAAGTTTGGCCAAAAAGACCATTTTTTTAATTTTTTTTTTTTTTCGTGTTAGGCAATTATGTGATGTGATGCTCCTGTAAGGAAAAAAATTAAATCTTTTGAAGTTAACTGAATCTCATAAAATTCCATGTTTTGTCCCGGAGCGGAACATGATAAAACATGTAGGAGTATTTTAAAGTAAAATAATAAAACAATTTAATGAATGAATCTTAATTAAGAGATATATTTTTAAGAATAATGCTCTTATTTTTAATTTATTAAAACAAATGAAGGTAACAATGTTTATTTATAAAATTATTGATTCAATGCTGTTATAACACAGCGTCAATGGCAGTATTCATCAGACTGTTTGGTGTATAACCGTTCCAAGACTGATATTAAATTGTATTGATAAAATTATGTTAATAGATTTAAGAAAATTCCATTTTGTTAGTTATTTATTATTTTAAATAATTGTGATTATTTTTTTTAATGTTCTAAATATTTTTATTTTTATTTAGTAATGGCAGATATAACCTCGTTATAGGAATGTTGATATGCAGTTACGTATTAACATAACTTCAAGAAAATTCCATTTTGTTATTTATTTATTATTTTAAATAATTGTGATCATTTTTTTTTTTTATGTTCTAAATATTTTTATTTAGTAATGGCAGTAATTTAGTAATTTAACCTCGTTAGAGGAATGTTGATATTAAGTTTGATATATTATTTTGTCAGCTCCAATATGCCAACATCCTAGTTTTACAGACCAGACCATCTCAGCCTATTATCATCATTTGTGGTGCTAAAATCCATTACCAAGTCTGAGATTCCTTCAATCTCTATCCAATATTAGATTCTAAGAATAAGCATGTCAGCCAATATTCCAATAGGTTAACTAACTCTTAGGTTGTCACAAACTTCATATTGGTCAGCATCTTCACTTATATCAAGGCACTGCTGATGCTATATTATTATTATTTCATGGCACTACAACCTGGTTTCAGATTTTGGCCTCCTCTAACCGTTTCCTCAAATTGTCATGGTCTTGTACCGATGCCATCCATATCCTAACTCCCAGCTTGCTGCGGGCATCTCCCACCACACGATCAGACCATCTCAGCCTTGGTCTCCCTCTTCTCCTTGCTCCATAGATTGGCTGTGCAAGCAATATTTTAGACATTTCTCTGTCTACCACCCTGGCAATATGCCCTGCATTATGCAATATGCCTTAAACACCTCAAATTCATTGTTTTCACATCAGCTTCTCCGAAAGCACTGTACAGCTCCTGGTTCGTGCACTGCTTTCACTCCTCTCCAACTTTCACTCCCCCAAAAACATGGCAGAGAACCTTTCTTTCAAAGATAAGGAGTTTCTTTTCAGTGGCCTTCGAAGTTATCTATCATTCCGTTCCATAAAGCAGTATGGGAAGTCCAATGTCTTGTAGAGGTGGGGCTTGGTCTCTCTGGAAAGTATCCTACTTAGCCTAGTTAGCTGCTTGCTCAATCCAAAGTAGCACTTGTTGGCTGTTTTGATTCTTCTTCTTATCTCAATATCGGAAATTATTATCCAGAGTTCCTACAGATCCCAGATAAGTGAACTCTGAAACCTTCTCAAATTTATGAAGCCCAAAACTGGCATGGGTTATAACTGGCATGGGAATTTCTTCTGCTATCATATATTTTGTTGTGGACTCATTAACTTCCAGTCCAAGTCTGCTGGTATGATCCATCAGTGCCATAAAAGCATCAGTCACGGCCTGTAGGGAATGTCCTCTACGGTGCTATATTAATATCACCAAATTAGGGCATCCTGATTTTTTATCCACCCACCATGCCTCTCTTAACAAATCAACATTTTAAACTTTGTATATTTTTTCAATTTAGCATCTCCTATAACAACTTCAAACCATCCATGCTCCTTCCACTCCTGTCAATGTCATCAAATAGCCCTCGGAAGCTGTGCATTCTGGATTCTTCTCCTTTAGTAGCCTTGTTGAACAAGACCATGATATCTTAATGTATTTTATTATTTATCACCTGACTGAATAGGGTCTTTTAGAAGTTGACCTTAGGCCTATCAGCAATATTTGTTCATAATTTGCTTTGCAGAAATAGCAATGTTTGTTTGCTAACTAACCCCCTTCCTCCTCTCCCCCCTCCATCAACTCCCTATTTTTCTCTTGAAAAATACTATTTTGTACATTTTTCTCAGTTCTCAGATACCTCATAGATCTGTTTCCTGATCTGTGTGAACCAACATTTTATGTTCTAAGAAGAAAAAAAAAATGAAACAATAAACCATTTATGAATCTTCACCAGAAAACCCAACTGAAGGTATATCATTGTAACGTTATAGGCTCCATCCTAATTGATGAACTGGTTGTTTTTCAACAGTTCCGCTTACATTTACTCAGATGCACTTTAATTTATCCAAAATTAGTAATGTCCTTGTAAAATTTGATAATTAATGCATTATTCTTTTCTTTTTTTCTTAAGCCCACCATACAGTGGGTTAATACCACCATATACTGTCAATATTTTTGAGCATCGTATCTATATTATCAATTACACTCAATATTGTTGTAAGTGCTCCTAAAAATACAGCCTGTCTAATCTGTTGGTGAATATACACAATGTGTCCTCAATGTTAGTTTTATTTTACTTACTACTATTTTTTTCATTATCAAACAAGCAAACTGCTTATGGATATATTTAGGAGTTACTGGAATTCAGTTCATATCAGCATTCCTACAACAAGGTTTCCACCAAATTCAATGGAGTATTCATAGTTTTTATATTTAGTTTTAAATAAGACAGAAGTTTTGCTGTTAGAAGTTACCGATTTATTTATTTTGTTTTCAATGTTGTTACATTTATATGTAATGTTTATTTATAATAGTTAAGTTTCGTTAATTATAGTATTAGACTTTGAACTCTTCCATTACACTTTAAGATGATTATTTTTCCTCATTTGAGAAACGTAACTGGCAACTAAGTATATCTTAACTTTAAATTTTCTGTTTTAAATTTTTTTACATGACTTCTAGTACAAAACAGAAAATGGTATACTAGGGTGCACTGTAATGTATGTTAAAAATGATCTCATTTGTATTTCAACCCTCCTCCCTATAGCTATTTATTTTGAATATTGATCTGAATTTGTATTGATAGTTTGAGCAATAAAACAATATTTTACTATCCAATAATAAATAATTTAAAGCAATTATCTTTTTTTTTTTTTTCAAAGATATTGTATAGTATAGTCCTCAAAAGGAGGTACAGGCCCCAAAAAGTTTGAGAATCTTTCATGTAAACTTCTTCACTGTCTGTACTTATCTCATCGGCCTCACTAACTTGGTAACTTTTAGAAGAATCAGTTACGACCTTGATAGATCTTGATAAGACAGTGATAACTAGATCTTGCCCCAAAGGACTTAGAGAAATCAGTGTGGCATTTAGACTAAAAGGTATGGAGGCTCCTGTTTTACTGAACTAATAATGTTGTTATCCCCATCGTCACAGTTTTGTTTCTTTGAGTCTATATTATCATTTTTCTTCCTTTCTATGTGTTCAGGTCCTGTTATTCACCATTCTAATTTCACTGTAATAGTTAAATATTCTCAATAAAAATAAAACTGTGAAAATTCACCCAGCTCAGACCTCAGAGTATTAACTCAATACCTGAAAGAAATATGTGATAGATGCTTCTCAAATGAAATTTATTCCATTAAAAAGAGTGAAAAAATTAGTTTAGGATTATTGTTTTTTACTTCAATAATTTTTGTGATTTATAAAATGCTTTCAGTGTGTTTTACATCTCTTAGGATAATGCTCCTTGATGTATATTTTTTATGTGTGCTAATGAATTTAATCGAATATTTATTAAAAATGAAAAAATATGATCTGATAAAATTATTTATTACTAATATGTGTAGTGAAATAAGTTTGTGTGTTAAAATAAACAAAATAAAAAAAAAAAAAAACAGTTTCTTAACTATTAGTTTTTATAACTGTATTATGTATGAGAATTGAACCACAAGTAGTCATTAATACATTTTGATTTTCTTCATTACAGCAGTTTATATTATCTCAAAATAAATATTTTACTATGTTTACCTCATTTAAATAAAGGAAAGAACAGTTCAAATAATTAAAGTTTAAATTTTATTTGTGAAACTTAGTTTTGAAGAGTTGATAATTACAATCATTTCAATTTATCTTTGTTTAATTATTTTACAAAAATTGCAATCTAATCATACTATACTTGAGAAAATTTCATGAGCAATTTATATAGTCCTGTTTTAAAAACATTTTAGTACCTATATAGTATGAAAGACCTTTTCACTTAATTATTTTCTTCCCTATGAAAGTCTTTTTGACATAAGTTAAATGATGTAAAAAAATTCAATAATTTGTTTATGAATGATAATTAATTTCAACTAGTAAATATCTCATATTTAAAAAAAAAACTGTGGTTCAGAATGAACAGGGAAAAAATTGATAGCATAATATATAATTTAAAATAATAAAATTAGAGTATTAAATAAAATAAGTAAAATTTGAAACAATTCACTTTCCTTTGAGCTTTAATTGTTTTTACATTTAAAAATTTATTTATAAAAATTACTTTATCCTGATATTTTATCACTCTATAGGCATATAGTTTACTTCTCATGTAAATATATAGTAAATGACATTAAGTTATTAAATTTGTTGTACTAATAAGAAATAATAATACAGTAGACCTTTTAGTTTAAAAAAGAAAATAATCTGAGCTAAACATTGAAAAAAAATTTAATTTGTTTATTGGGTTCAACACCCTTTTACTAGACCCTTATTTAACATTTATCATAAATCTCAATGTCTAATATTATACAAATAATATTAAATTGAAATTTTGTCATACATTTTTTTTTTCTGCCTAAACATCATTTCCATGCTGAATTTTCCATTTTTTTAATGATTCTTTGAAATGGAAGATGGCTGGAAAACAAAATCATAAAATCTATATTATCCATCAATTAACATTTAAACAATTAAATTTT